GACCATCCGGGTGATGTGTTCTGGTAGCGTGGGATCGAATCACAAAGACAGTTGTCTTTTCCCGGTGTGTGTTCCTCGATGTTTGAACATCGATATATCCTCATCCATGGTGGTACCGTCTGCCTTGATCGCCTTGGCGAAGTCCCCCTCGAGATCCATCTCTCCATTTCCTGCTCGTCAGCTTTGCACGCACAGAGTTACTGTACGTCTCCGTTTCGCAGGCTTGTCTTCTCATGCATTTTTAACGTAATGCTGACGACGTCCTGGTCGTCGCTTTGTGAGATTCACCTTCCGAACCCCCTTTGTGTGGTCTCGCGTAGCTGTCGAACAGCCACATCCATTCTCCACGTGCTCCCAAAAAACCTTTCTCTCCAGGTACGCCATTTCTTTTTTGTCGAACTGGACGGCGTTTGCTCGCGCGTCACCTTCGCCGATGTTGCGCGCGTCGCGGGGTCCTGATCTGCTTACTGTTATCTTCTGGGGCTGCTTGTCAACATCCCATTGTGGGGTCGCGTCCTCTGCGTCTACACAAAAATAATAATGATGATGGAGAAGGGAGGGGGAACGAGGTTATTGCCTCAACTGTATTCATTCTGCGCTTACCGGTTAGCAGAGTTTGCTTGCCTCGAGCGGGGGGGGTAAGGGGTATCAAGACCTCAATCTGTCTTCCTCTCCTGCTTGTCATCTCCTCGGTCTTAGTTCGACCTCTACGCGGGCGACGCCCTTGGCATAGCAAACCGGAGTCTCCTGTGGGGGTTTCCGTCAGCGTTTGGGGTGTTCACAAACAACCATCCTCAGTCGTAATTTTGGGCATTTGGGAAAGTGAAGGGGGGGTTTGGTTCTCAAGCTTCCTCCTCTTGTGATTTCCGTGGTCGCAAGATCGGCGCCTTGGGTCTGATGACAACAAACGTGATACGTGTGCATTTCCCAGCGAAGGCTGCTGCTTTCCTTAATTTTCTTTTCAAAATATTCTCACGGCCGCTTCACACGTGTGTCTCCGTGCACTTGTCTGCCGGTGGTTTTCATTTCTAAATCAATAGAATGACTCGTCCCTCGTTGTGTTGGCTTCATACAACATCCTCGTGCGACTACCTCTGCCGCCGGCATGTCGTGTCGTCACTTCCAGCGTGCTTCCGACCCCCTGGTCGTCTTCTGTTCCCATCTATGCTCCTCTTTGAATTCTGAGATACCTCCTCTTGATTCGTGCTCCCTTCGTACAACCTCCCTCACTTCCTGCCGAACCGTACTGTACGTGTGTACGCGAAATCGTCAGCCTGCGTTCCGCGTAGCAAAAATTTCAACTTCCCGCAACGCGTTCCCACGTCCCTCATATCCACCTCTGGTCTATGCCAATTTTTCCTCCTCTTTTTCTTGCATCCTACCCTCACTCGGGGGCTCAGCGTATCCCCTCATTTGCCTCTAACTCCCCCTTCGTTCCCCGAATGTGGCACGCTTGACACAAGTGACCTACGGATCGCATACTGTACTCAGTCGCGCCGTCGATCGTCCGCGGACGATCGATGATCAATGCCGGGGTCCCACGTTGCCTCGGTGTAATCGACGTCGCTTAGTTTGCGAGTTCCCCTAGCTCTTCTCTTCCTGGCTCGAGGAATTAAATTGGGAACGTCATTACCCCGACAAATGCACGTTGTCGTCACTCGACGCCGTCAATCGGGTTGACAGATCGTCGTGTCCGCCTTTCCTTTTCTTTTTCTGAAGTGTACGTTCTTCAGTTCCTCCTCTTTTCCAACTCGTCTGCCCTTCCGTCCACGTTAGGGACAACTGTCCCTGTCGCAAAAGGGTTCGTCGGGCGAGTTCCTCGATGGCTTTCATATGCCGGTTTCCTCAATCGTGCACGATTTCTCTCTCCTTTCTCAGCAGTTCAGTGTGATGATCCGCGTCAAAACCTTGACACTCAGTCGACTCTCGATCGTGACGAGTCCCCTGCCTTCCATCAGCATTCCCTTTTCTCTTGGGGTTGCGTCGCAGGCCCTTTCGAGCTTCGGCGTGCGTCATCCTCATCCGCCTCTCCTATTTGCCTGCCTTTCGAAAACGGGCTACAGTACAGTCAGGTTATCACGAGCATTGACATACATGAATGTGTATATTTTTTTTTCTGTCGTTGCTCGTCGATGATCGACCTTGTCGATCTTCTCTCGCGCTTGTTCATCACACCGGGCCCGTCATCGCGACAACCAGCTGGTCCCTCCGTAAAACGGGTTGCTTCGGAATCGCCTAACTCGGTGTGCCGCACGCGCGTAGGTGCGTGGGTCGCTCTTCTCCTCCACTTGTCGTCGCGTTTGTCAAAGCCACCGAGGGCTCGCCCTGCTGCCAGCCTTCCGATTTGGGCGGCTTCGCCTTTCCTTTCTCTTCTCCTTCTCGTGTCTTCTGAGCACACTCAACGAGAATCTCTGCAACACAAAAAAAAATAAACAAAGGAGACAAAACAAAAAACAACAACAAGAGAGAGATAAAACAGAAACAATCAGTGGGGGGAGGATACAGTCATGAGCCCATAAGTAACGTGTCCGTCGTGGAGGGCTGATCGAATATCACGGTCCGCTCATTTCTCCGCTTTCGTCTTTGTCCTGCTTCGGTGTCGCGCTCGTCCTAGTCAGCATGACATTATGTCATCACCCTCGTTAGCGCGGCACGTCGGGAAGGCAGAGGGCGTCCTCAGTATAATTTTGCGTTGTTTCGCGTGCTCTAGATCCTTTCACAGGCGGTGTTATAAACTAGGGAGGTTGGTCCTCCTGCTCGGCAAGCGTCCGTCTCACTGTTTCTTGAGCCTCATCAGCACCTCGGAAGCAAATGTTTGCCAAAGCCGTCGGCGGGTGCGGCCGTCACATTCTACACTGAATGTAAGAAGACAACCGTGGGGCGGCCTTGGGCACTTGTATCGTTGTTGTTGGCACCCCTCGCGTGCCCTTCGCTTACCCAGTAATTTTCCTAATCTTGCTTATAATTGCAAGGGACAGCTACGGCTCCTTCTGACTCATTTTCCAGATTGGTATCTCCTCGTGAACACTTCCCATTCTTCCGATTAAATTACACTTCGTGCATTCGAATCGTACGTCCGAACGTTAGCTCATGTCCTCTTTGCAGCAATGCGGATGCATACTGTACTTCATCATCCGGACTGACGATATCACTTTCTTATTTCTAGAAACCGTCCCTCACGTCCGTCCCTTAACGTACGGGTTTATGCAGGTCGCCTGCTTCTTTTCTCCTCTCATACTCTACTCACAGACCTCGCGTCCGGCCTCTTCTTGGCAGTAATTATCCAGGCAGCGCGCGCGATTTGCGCGGGTAAGGACAGCCGCTTCCTTCGCTCTTTCAGTATGTTGTCATGAGGGCGTTTCGCTGATAGTATCTATCACTTTTCTGCCGACGCATTCTCCGCAACATGAGCGTCCCTCTTGGTCTTCCCCCAGGTAGAATCCATCCCAGGGATCATGGTCTCTTGAACTTCGTCCCCTGAGTCTCACGATTCCCTCATCAACTCTCTTTTCTTCCTCTCGATCATAGTCCTCCTTCGAGGCCCTTCCAGCGCCTCGATCTCTCACGGAATTCTTCATGATGTGCCCTTCTGACCGCACTTGGTCGCTAAGTTGTAAATTAAACAAACACTACCATATTGTCACCAAAAGCGTTGACTTATCATTTCTTTAAAGAAAGATAGAAAAAAATTTCTATGGGCAGTCAGCTGCGTTCTTCGTCCCTTGTCCATCAACTACTCAGAGTCTCTGCCTCAAAGGGTGTCGCGCTCCTTCAGGCGGGGGTTCTTCCCCTTCGTTCAGAAAAGCGTCGGCGCCTCTGAATTTTTCTCTACCTTGCCTGATCTTCTCGTCCTTCGTTGACGCAGTGATTGGCATCTTCGTGGCCGTCGTCCTCTCTCGGGGAGCGCCGCACGCTCACTCGGGGATCACCAACCTAGATGCCTCCCGTGAAACGAAAACGAACACAAACACAAAACAAATAAAACAAAAACAAAACAGAACAGTTAAGAAAGTAAAAACGTAGGGTTTTGGTTATGACTCGCGTCTTCTTTTCGCGTTTTCACCAACGCGTTCCGTAGGGGGCTCATCCTGGTCTCGCGCATGCGGCTTGATGTGGGAGGAGTTGTTTCTTCCTCCGAAAATACGTCACCACTCCGCTACGCGGTAATTGTTCAATTGGCTCCCATGTCGCGTCCTCGCTCACGTAGCCATACCATTCTACCTTGAGAATTAATTTCCCATCTCGATATCCGTGGTCGACTATTTTGTCGATCACGTACTCCTGATCTTCAGCTCCTTCTTCGTGTTCACTGACAATTCCTTCCCCCTTCTGAAGATCTTCCAACTCGTCCTCTTCTGCCGGGTCTCTTGACTCGCGTGAGTCTTGCGGAGCATCCGCTAACGGTAACTCGGTAACTAGATCTTCAGGGTCCTCTCGCGGAGCCGTGTGTACATGAGGGCTACCCCCATTTTCGAAAACATTCCGTCCTTCTTCTCTCTCTGTCCCATCAAGGAACCGTAGCGCTTGTGTTAAGCCGGTGACCGGCGCGAGGTCCATTGGACTCGGGGCTAGTTCCACCCGGTATCGCGAAACGCGCTCCTCTTGATCGTCAATGGCGATCACGACTGTACCTTGATCAGACCTCTTCACTGCGTAGGGTCCCGTAGCCACTTATGCCAACTTATGTTTCGGCTCGGTGGCGGTGCCTTGCTCCTTTCGAAGGAATACGTATGATCCTGAAGGGATGTCATACTTCGGCTTGCGGAGCCTTGAACCGGAATTCCGCTTGTACCGTGCCTGTTCCTTGCGCAGACTCTTATCGGCACTTCTCATCAAGCTCTCCAACCACGACTGCCATTTCAGGTAGTACGCTCGATTCGAGCTAAATCCTTCCAAACTTGGCTGTGCTTGTAACGCAATGCTTTTCGGCGCCCGAGCTAACACCAGCTCGAAGGGCGCGATGTTCGTAGTTCGATGACCTTGCATGTTGTATGGGAACGTCACAGCGTCGCTAAATAAGTCCCAGTCCTTGGGATGCTCTCCAACATATTTTCGCAACGCGGACGCCAGCGTGCGGTTAAACCTCTCAACTCGGCCGTTGGCTTGCGGGTGGTACGTAGTCGTGAACACATTGCGTATGCCGAGAATTCTGCAGACGTTCTGAAAGAACCGGGCCGTGAACTGTGTTCCATTGTCGGACAGCAGCTTGACCGGCGGTCCGTACACGAATATCCAATGGTAACGAAGGCTTGTGCGATGTGCGCAGCTGATATCTTCTTCAACGGTACGGTTCGTGCCGGTTTCGAGTATCGATCGCTGATCACGAGAATATACCGATTTCCTCGTTTAGTTGTAATTAGCTCGCCGAAGATGTCGATGGGGACAAACTCCAGCGGAGCTTTGGGCGTGAACAGCTTCATTTCCTTCGTGTTTCTTCTTAACTTCACCCTTTCCCACGCACATGCGGCGCAATTCTTCGCGACTGCGTAGCAGTCTAGGGCCATCGTAGGCCAGTAAAAATATCTTCTCAATGTCTTGTAAAGTTCCTGCCTCCCGGGTGGCCTGCCAATTTTGCGTGGTGGCTCAACCCAAGGACGCGGTCCCTTAACGATTGTGGTATTACCACTTGTACAAACTCCGCCGCGGTACGGCATAGAGTTCCTTCGAGTTCCTCGGTCTCCATGCTGAACGTTCTCACCATTCCGGCGTCCATTTCTTCCTTGATGCAGTTGCAGAAGGGGTGGACGGCTTGCTCGCGAATGAGCTCCTCTGGAGTGACAGCTTGGAATTGATTGAGGCGATCAGAGGCGGTCCCCCCTCAAGAGCGAGGATGTCGTCTAACGCGTCAAAACTGTCCTCGTCCTCCACTGTACCCTCGACTGGTTCGGCCATAAAGCATGGGATTGCGTCGTCGATTTCGTCGACGGTTTCTCCTGCGGTCCGTAATCTTGACAGGGCATCAGCTTGGCTGTTCGCCTTGCCCTTCTTGTACTTGATTTCGAAATCAAATTTCGAGAGGCGGAGCCTCCATCGGATTAATCTCCCGCTGGGGTCCGTTACGTTCATCAACCATCTCAATGAGGCATGGTCGGTATGCACAATGAAGTGCTCGCCATATAGATATGGTCTTAAAGTCTGTATAGCCCAAATTACCGCTAGGCATTCTTTTTCTGATACAGAATAGTTTCTCTCGGCTGCGGCTAACGTTCTTGAAAAGAACCCGATGGGTTTACGTTGCGCATCCGGATGCGTTTGAAATAATGCAGCGCCGATTTGATAGTCGCTTGCATCGGTATCTACCGAGTAGGGTAGGTCCTTCTTCGGCAGCGCCAACACCGGTGGTGCCAAGATAGCGTCTTTGAGCTTATGAAAAGCTTTTTCGCATGGTTCGTCGAATCCTTCCAACTGGACCGATTGTTCTTTCGTCAGTAGTTGGTTTAGAGGATGCGCAATTTTCGCATAATGCGGAACGAATCTGCGGTAGACATTACAAAGTCCCAAGAAGCTCCTGAGTTGGGTCTGCGTTTGAGGGTACCTCACTTGTTCCAAGGCGGCTGTTTGCGCGGCGTCAACTTCTAATGTACCTGCCGAACGACATGGCCCAGGTACTTGATCTTTTCGACGAAAAATTCGCACTTGCGAAGCTTGAGCTTCACACCTGCCTTCTCCAATACAGGCAGTATTTCGTCAACGTGGACGACGTGCTCCTCCCAGGATTTGCTGAAGATGATGATATCATCCAAATACACCAGACAAAACTTCCATCGGAACGGTGAGAGCAGTATATCCATGGCTCTCTGAAACGTCGCCGGCGCGTTGGTAAGCCCGAAGGGCATTCTTGAAAAACGGTAGAGACCTGAGTGACACGAAAAAGCTGTCTTGTCGAGGTCCGCTTCGGGAATAGGCATCTGCCAATACCCCGAAATCGCGTCCAACGCGCAGAAAACCTTGGTGTCACCAAGCGAGTCCAGACACTCATCCATGCGCAGTAAAGGGTACGCGTCCTTCACCGTTATCGCGTTTAACCTGCGGTAGTGTACGCAAAAGCGCATCGATCCGTCCGGCTGGGGCACTAATAAAACGGGCGACGCTCATTCTGACTGCGTCGATTCGATGACTCCTGCTTCTAACGTCTTCTGTACTTCTACGTCCTCGACCTCCCGAGCCTTTGGACCGGCTCGGTAGGGAGCTTGTGCGATGGGCCTGGTCTCCGGGACCAGCTCGATCCGGTGGACAGTGGTATTAATTTCACCAAGGGTCCCATCCCACATCTTTGAGTATTTCTTCAACATCCGTCGGAACCGCTCGCGCAGCCGTTCCGGCACGTGGCTCAGGTTGAGGTCCTCCACGTCCGGCGGTGGGGGCTTAATCCGCTGCTCCGGCTTCGACGATGCCGTCGCAGAGAGCCTACTCGACCGTTCTTCTGGCTGGTCCTTGCGCGCTTGATCCGACGGTTCGCATCATGTCTCGCCGTTAGGCGTCTTGGTAAAATTAGGAAACCTTTTCCTTCTTCCTTTCTTGAATTCCGAGAACTTCACCAATGGTGCTTTTGCTCTCGAGCACGGCCCTCGGATGCGGTAATAATTCTGCCACCACTTGGCCTTTTTGCACCCTGACAGGGTACGTCCTAAAATTCGCAACGAGTAAACGAAATGGCCTGTCAGGCTCAACCTGAACGACACCATTCGTGCACGTCAACCCGTGCCTTTCGTACAACGACGAGGACGGCTGAACCACAACCAAGCCCGCGCTCTTCGAGGTGCATTCCACGACGCGTTGCGTCCCTGGCTCGATAGTCGTGGCTCTTGCCACTTTTACCTTAGGAGAAATCGCTCCCCCTTTCTATCATTCTCGTCCTCTCCCGGGACGAGATTCTTCTTCCCTTTTCTCGTCGAGAACCGCCTAACTATCGGAACCTCCGAGAAATCCGCCAACTCAACCGTTTTCTTCCTTGGATAAATGGCTTCCACAAACCGGTCACAGTAGTCCGCGTCTAGAATTAGCGGGACTGCTAGTTTTTCGCATACAATAAATTCGGCTGCGCCCACAAATCTTCCAAGCCTCACAGGCATTTTAAGTGTGCAGAGAGTCCGGAGTGGCCTATTGTTCGCGTCGCCAATGTCTTGGGTCGATCCGTAGGACACCAACATTTCCATTCCTGCCGGAAGTTCCGACCTTCGAACCAAATTCCGTCCGGCACCTGTGTCCAGCACGGACAACACTCGACTCATCAATCCGACCGTTGGTCCAATATCCGCGTAAACTTTGTAGTTTTTTCGCGCAAGGACCACGGTCTTTTCAGGACATTCTTGTCGCTTAACTCTGTACCAGGGCCTACGAATTTGATCCATCGGACGATCCTTGTCTCGACTTAGAATTTTCTTGACAACAATCGGCTCCTTCGGCTTACCCCCTATTTCAACTACCTCCTCGTCGTGGCCTTCCCTTCTTGCTAGAGACGGGGAACGGGACTGAGTCCCGGACGCAGTACGTTGAACCTGCGCTTCTCGAGACTCCCTCGAGATTCCCCTCTCTAGTTTCCCTGCGGCTGCGGGTTCCTTCTCACGTCCGACGACGCGGGCCCCGCGGCGGTCCGTCTGAAGGGTTGGTTCGACCTCGGCGTTGAAGCACTCAGCGTGCTTGCCGTCTGCGAATCGAACCAATTCTTGACCTTCAGATAACTCGTCGATGGTATCTCTAATCTCTCCATCGGAGACAACGCCTCATAATTTCCCAAAACTCGGTGCATTTCCCGGAGGGAAAGAATGCACGTTGGCGCGGCGTGCCCCTTTTCGTAACAGTGATAGCACACCAGTCCGTGCTTCTTGACGGGATATTGCGGTCTAGGTCCTCCATGGGCCGGCGGCCTTCCTTGATGTTGCGGCCTTCCCATCCAGCCTGGCCTTCGAACCGTTGTACCCTTGTCTTCCATCGGAATGTACGGCGCCGGCGTGTGGCCGCGCCCCTGGAACATCATCAAGGGATCCGTGGGCTCTGAAAACGACTCCGTCGTGTATGTGGGCGTCGGTAAAGTTGACGACCCGCTTGCCCCGTAGTCCTCGTGTCCGTAGCCCTCAGATGGCTCAATAAAATTGCCTTCGGCTACAAATTCTCCTTCATAATGATTTTCGCTGCTTCCGTGCGCACTGCGTTCATCTGACGCGGAGATTGACTCTGCTAAGTGGACGGCGGCGTGACCTTTACGACCGGGATAAGAAGCCCTTGGCTTGTTCCCGCTTGTGCTTGTGGAATCCGCGCAGGCCAGCTCCATGACGATGTGAGCTGGCCTGGGCTTATTAATCAATTCATCAAGCGCTACCTCACTGATGACGTACTGGGGGTAGCGCACGATGACGTCGCGTCGGCTCATCAGAAGCCGCACGAGACGGAAAACGCGTTCGCGGATAGGCTCGAATCGAACGCGTTCAAGTGCACCGCGTTATTTACGGAGCAAGCCTTGGCTCATTATTTTGTACGCGGATTAGCTCCCGCGACGCGAGCAGCGGTGGCAGAGACCGTCCAGAGGTTGCCCGCGAACCAGTGGACGGACCTGTCAATTATCAGACGCATCGCGACCGCAGAAGGAACCACGTTTCGCGCCCGACGCGGACTCCCACTGCCGGACCCGAAACTGGCAGCGAGGGGAGGGAGAGCCGCCAGGTCGAACGCGACGAGCTCCCCCGCCTCAGCCCTCCACGTTAACGAGGAGGATTGGGAAGGTAACCCCGTCCTCGTCATGAGAGGCGGGGAGGCTACAGGAGGCCGGCCGTCAACGCTGGCGTCGACGGAGACCACGGGCAGGTTTGCCACCGCGTTCGGGCGTACCCCAGCGGGGATAGGTGGTCCGGACCACCGCATCGCGGAATTGGACATTTCACGTCAAGGAGGGGGACAAATACCTCCTGTGTTCCCCGGCTCACCGAGGAAGAGGCTCGTCAGGCGGCGACCTTCGCCTCAGCCGACGGGAGCGCGTACGTCTGCTGGCTGTGCAGAACGAACTGCCATGCCATGTACGCGTGCCCCTTCCTCGCGCCGGAGCAGCGGATGTTTACGGCGTATCGAAACTACCGGTACCAACTACAGACGCGTCCAGCGATGAGGAACCTCCTCCAACAGTCGGTCGCTGGTGACCGTGGTCCGGGTTCGGGCCACGCGAATCGCCCCCGAGGAGGCGTCCGTTTCGCCCCTCGCGGAGGAGGATACAGGCGCGAACAACGCGATTTCCGACAAGCCGACACGCGATACCCGCGTTAAGATGGAAGAGGAGAACGCGGTCGGTCCAGATTGCCGACGGGGGTACCGAACGCGATAATGTACCTCCAAGACTGAGCAGGAGATCCGTATCCCCTGCCCCTACAAGAAATCGAGCGAGAGCCGACTCTCGCCGCCCCCCAGATTTTACAACATCCGAACGTTGAAAATCAACCCCGCGAGGTACCCGAGTACTTCGCGGATGCTGCCGTTCCAGAGTGGGTAGGGCCAGGCCAGCCACTCGAATGGACGTCCGGAGCCGCGTTGGCTACACATAGCGGCGCGACTAGCACGGATAGTTCAGGTAGCTCAAAAACGCGTAAAGGCGGTCACGTTTACGCGGTCACGTGAACCGTCTCGCTCTTATACTCCCGACCCGTCCATATACCCCTATCAAGGGCGACGTGAATATTTACCGATAATTTTTCCCCTCGCCGCAACACGAAGTCACCGAGACCCCCGCCGGTCCGGTGCAAAAACAAGTATTTAACAAACGCGAAATTACCGCGACTTCCGTAAGCCCGGTACCACCCCACGAACGCGAATATTTCCCGACCTCCGGAGGTCAGATGCCACGGATCCGCCGTGAGGGCACCAGGGCCAGCGAGAGCACGGTGCAAGAAGAAGAACGCCACGTGCGCGTCGAGAAGGCGCCGCGTGAAGAAGTAACGCGTGAAAATCGCGTGGGCTTCTCCTTGGGCCCAAGGAGTCAAGAGCCGAAAGACGAACGCGAGGCCTCGGACCCCGACGGTCAAGGAAGAAGAACGCGGAGAAGGGGCAAGACGCGACGCCGACGCCCAAAGCCAAATGACCTTGAGCGAACGGCCTCGCCTAAGATCGTCGAGGGCGTCGTCTGTCTGATGACGTCCAAGATCTACAATATATTGGGATCGATAGCTACTGAGAAGAACGCGTTCACGCCGTACACTATCGCCGTCGATACGTGTTCTGGCTACAATCTGGTGAGAAAGGCCGACCTTCCTCCCGACTGGACCCGACACGCAATGCGCGACGCGCCATTGCCAAGGCGGGCAGGAGCAAACAGCAACCCGTTGAGGCTGAGCGCAGTGGTCCGTTTGGTTGTCCGGATTCGGAACACGATGTTCCGAGTCCCGTTCGTCGTCGCGGACCAACTGGCTGTTCCCGTGCTTCTGGGCACCGCGTTCATTGACGCGCATGTCCGGAGCATCGACATAGAAGCCCAGAGGCTCGAGCTCCGGCATGGGGGCGCCGTGGCCATCGTGAACGCGAAGGGGGAGCCCCCTCCCCCTACAAGGCGACATGGACGCGAGACAAACCACGCAGAAGTACGCCAAGAAACCGAGCACCCGATTCGGGTCTCGCGCTGGGTAAATGTTCCCGCTATGTCGCAAGTTCGCGTTCCCGTTACGACAGCGGGGAGAGGCCTGGTATTTTTGGAGCCCAAGCCGTCGCTACAGCACCGCCACGGGATGCGGCTGACCAACGGTGTCGCGGAAGTGCTACCAAACCAGGTCTTCGAGGTTATGGTCGCGAATTTTTCGCGTCAGGTGCGACGACTGCCAAAACATACAGTCGTCGGATACGCGAAACGGAACCCTCTTGC